TCTGCTTAGTTTTAGTGATAATTATACTCTTTAAAAAAAAAAACTTTTCAATCATATTCAGCGCATAGTTACATTATAACCCACCATATCTCTGTATATGAGGCAATATTCGCTTGTATATAGACGTTTCCTTGCGAAAGACGCCTTTGCGTTCGCATTCGGCGCGCTGTGGTGGATTCTTGTAGGGCAAACTCTTGACAAAGTATTGTAAATGGTGTTTGCACTTAGTTCTCGTGTCCTCCAACTCCAAGTGCAGTTTGTAGTATTCGCCCATATAGCCCATCAATTCAGTGGAGCCCGCCTCAAGTTGTCGCTTCAGTAAAATCAAATTCTCATCGCCGTCTTTCAGCTGAAGCGTGCGTAAGGCGATGTGAAGACATTCCGCGGGGCTGAGCAGCTCCATTGAGGCTGGCTGTTGAAAGTGAACTGAACCCACAAAAATTGAGCTTCATCAAATAAAAAGTTGCCAGAGATGAGTTCAGAAGCTATCTGTGTAGTTTAGTTATCACAAAACAAAAAAAATGTTTTCTTTTTTTATAATACATCACAGTAAATAATCTTTACTGATAAGCTGAGTTACTATGCGAGCATTGTGTAAACGTTGCCGATAAGACTGAGCCATTTCAGTTGGCCCCATAGTAGGTTATTTCTAATAAATCTTCGATGCAGGCATTCATATAGCTACGAAAATCCTCATGTTGACTCATCAGTCTCCCTAGCGCTTCGGTGCGATCTACATTGCAGAATCGATGGAACTCCATGGGTTGTTGGTCCTTCAGCTGCTTCAGATAGTTGTCGGGCAGGCGTAGTATGGTGGCAGCTATGCAGTTGTAGGTGGCGCCAAAGAGAGCAAAGTCCTTCAAGGATCGCGCAAAGGATGCATGGTCCAGGCGCTCACGCCCGGCATCGATGCCCATGGCGGTCAGTTCATCAATCAAGTGCGAGTAATAACAGATCGTTAGATTATCCATTATTTGCTTGCGGTGCAGTGGCTCCAAGTTCAGATAGCAGGCCATGAGCAGATCCACAGCTGGTGGTGCATAGCGACAGAGCTGAAAGTCCACCAGGACACAGCCCAGCTCCTCCGACTCCTTCTGTGGATAAAACACATTGCCGCCCCAGGCGTCGCGATGCAGAAAGACATTGCGATGCACTGGCGATGGATTCACCATATAGTAGACACGATCCAGGCAGCGCGGCAGCTCATTGGCCACATACTCCTGGGCAGCTGCATCATTGACAACTCGCGGATGCGCTGCGGCCATAGCCAGCACGGCCTGCATTTATACAGAGCGTATTTAGTTCAGTTCCCTTTCTTACTTTGATTGGCTAGCTCACCTTTATGCCTGTGGTCCACCACACAATGTCGGGATCAATGGACTTCTCCAGCAGCCACTTCCTGAATGCTACGCCGATGGTCAGCCGATGACGTTTCTCATAGGCCACGCTGCTCGCATGCAACGTAGCCAAAGCCCTCAGTATGGGCAACAGCTGCTGCTCGCTGAGGAATCTTGTGCCCGAGGGCAGTGAACTGTAGCCCAAATCCTCGATATTCTGCATGACAAACAAATCATCTCGTGTGAAATAGCATTTGGCACACCAGACATGGGCAGCTATTTGCGATTGAAGATAAGAAAGAAGTAAAAATAAACTATAAAAAAAACTATTAAAAAATAATAAAAAGATAAGCAAACATTAAATATTTACTAAATAAATACAAATTGTGATACACACACATATACATATTAATCTTTACAATTCAAATATACTTACAGAATTTCTTCAAATCATTCAACAGCAACTCGTATAGTTTCGCCTCCTTTTGTATTATCGACTTCTTCTCCTCGTAGTAGCTCATACTGGCGGACTCGTAGACCACAGATTTGACAAACAGACGCATTGAGCACTGCTCTGACTCACTAGCCAATTGATAGCTAAGAATCAGATGATAATACTCCCCGAGAAAGCCCACATGTTCGATGGCTGGCACAACTTTGAATTCATTAAGTTTGCCCTCTTGCTGTTGATCCTCGAGGGCAGCTCTCAATATGTTTTCACACTCCTCAAACGTAAACAGTTCCAGGCGATTTACACGCGTTAGCACGGGATTATAGTTGTTGTCACTCATTTCAAATTCTGTTGAAAATATTACATATAAAACTGACCGTTCGCAGCCAGCAATCGGCACGTTCTGAGCGAGAGACCGCCAAAAGCAGTATATATACTAGCTATACTCTAACTTGAGGTATACTGAACTAG